ACCATGGAAACTGTTTGGAGAAATCAGATCACCTTGGATTCCATCTGTAGTGATGTTACTTGTAAACAGTGATGTTTTCAGTTATAGTTTTCCACCATTTTTTCAATATGTTTAAAGATACAGAAATAATTTGCTAATAATGAGATAAGTTAGGCATAGTAGTAAAACTGAAACAACTCTGCAGTAAAGCAGTGTAAATACAGACTGTAAGTGAGTGGCAAAGTGTTGGAGTATTCAGTATTAATTAAGACTTTCCGATTTCCTTGTATTCTTTGAAAGCATGTTTTAAATTTATTTTTTATTTTTCTTATTAGCTCTATAGCCCACTATTGATGGTGCTGACTGGTTCTAAATCTAGCCCTCTACTTATGGTGCTGGCTGGTTCTGAATCTAGCCTTCTACTTATGGTACTGGCTGGTTCTGAATCTAGCCCTCTACTTATGGTACTGGCTGGTTCTGAATCTGGCCTTCTACTTATGGTACTGACTGGTTCTAAATCTAGCCCTCTACTGATGGTGCTGGCTGGTTCTAAATCTAGCCCTCTACTGATGGTGCTGGCTGGTTCTAAATCTAGCCCTCTACTGATGGTGCTGGCTGGTTCTAAATCTAGCCCTCTACTGATGGTGCTGGCTGGTTCTAAATCTAGCCCTCTACTTATGGTACTGGCTGGTTCTGAATCTAGCCCTCTACTTATGGTGCTGGCTGGTTCTGAATCTATACCTCTACTGATGGTGCTGGCTGGTTCTGAATCTATACCTCTACTGATGGTGCTGGCTGGTTCTGAATCAATACCTCTACTGATGGTACTGGCTGGTTCTAAATCTAGCCCTCTACTGATGGTGCTGGCTGGTTCTGAATCTAGCCCTCTACTTATGGTACTGGCTGGTTCTAAATCTAGCCCACTACTGATGGTGCTGGCTGGTTCTAAATCTAGCCCTCTACTGATGGTGCTGGCTGGTTCTAAATATAGCCCTTTACTGATGATACTGGCTGGTTTGTCCTGTATTGATGGTGCTGGCTGGTCCTAATTTCTGTCCTCTACTGATAAAGATGGCTGGTGCTAACTTAAGTCCTGTACTGATAATGCTGGCAGATTGTAACCCAAGCCATATATATACCAATGATGTAAACAGTCACTGTTCTGATGCCAGGGCAGCTAAAGCCTCCCTGTGGGGTTGTAATAGCTCTGATATCAACCTTCCCCAGTATTGATTTGCTGGGATATAGAGAAGGGCCAGAGATGATTATCAACTTCTTCCGGAAATAACATGGTAATTGTGAATCCTTTGGTGACATTACCATGGTGATCTACCTGCATGCCTGTATCAGTAGGTCTGATTTTACGCTGTCAATGAAATTGCTATTATTGTACTAAAGCAAATTGTAATAATTAATAAAAGCAATTCTTTTGTTTGTCTGACCTTAAAAGCAACTCGGTTTACTTTGAGGTTTCTATAATGATAAGGATTCAAATCTGCAAAGAGTAATGGAGCTTGGTTCTTTTTGTCCCATAAAGAGCAAAAAAAAGGGAAATAAATTCAGATAACATTTGTACTATATTAGGTAAGCAGACCTTGGGCTTTTCATGATTTCCTAAGTTGGGGATTACAATAAATTGGGACATTAGGGCATGCTTATATTGATCTCTGAGGTGTGGATTACAATGAGCTGGGACAATAGGGCCAGCTTATATTGATCTCTGAGGTTGATCTCTGAGGTGTGGGTTACAATGAGCTGGGACATTAGGCCTAGCTTATGTTGATCTCTGATGTGTGGATTACAATGAGCTTGGACATTAGGCCTAGCTTATGTTGATCTCTGATGTGTGGATTACAATGAGCTGGGACAATAGGGCCAGCTTATATTGATCTCTGAGGTGTGGGTTACAATGAGCTGGGACATTAGGCCTAGCTTATATTGATCTCTGAGGTGTGGATTACAATGAGCTGGGACATTAGGCCTAGCTTATGTTGATCTCTGATGTGTGGATTACAATGAGCTTGGACATTAGGCCTAGCTTATGTTGACCTCTGATGTGTTGATTACAATGAGCTGGGACAATAGGGCCAGCTTATATTGATCTCTGAGGTGTGGATTACAATGAGCTGGGACAATAGGGCCAGCTTATATTGATCTCTGAGGTGTGGGTTACAATGAGCTGGGACATTAGGCCTAGCTTATATTGATCTCTGAGGTGTGGATTACAATGAGCTTGGACATTAGGCCTAGCTTATATTGATCTCTGATGTGAATTACATTGAGCTGGGACATTAGGGCCAGCTTATATTGATCTCTGATGTGGGGATTACAGTGAGCTGGGACATTAGGCCTAGCTTATATTGATCTCTGATGTGAATTACATTGAGCTGGGACATTAGGGCCAGCTTATATTAAACTCTGATGTGGGGATTACAGTGAGCTGGGACTTTGCGATAGCTTATTATAATTCCTAGTGATTACAGTGAGCTGTGACCATGGACTAGATTTTATTGATTCCTGGGAAGGGGATAACAGTTGACATTACTTGCCCTTTGATCAGGTTAAATGTAATATGGCTATATCATACAGTTGATCTACTTATTGTAACTGTTCCACACATGATTGTTGATGCAAGAGTTGTTTGGTGCGATGTTTGAAAGACCAATCCCTGTCTGAAAGTCTCATTTAGGTAAGAGCCTTTCAAAGACTTCAACAAGCCTTGATTTGAGAGACTGATGCTGATGTATCTGCCAATGTTGTGTCAGATATCCCTTATGACTACACTGGCTGACTCCAGTGGTGCATTGTGATGATGTCACAGTGGAGTGTTTTAATCAGGCTTCCATTGGCTTGACAGCAATAGGAAAATCACTGATTAATTCTGCTTATGATATATCCTCTCTCTATCCAGTGCTGACCGACAAAATTGGACATTGAATTGTGTCATTGTTTTGGATTGTCATCCAAAGTTCCTGTATACTTGTGTATATATGGAGACAACATTTAAGGCTGACAGTTTGTAGAAGGCTTGTAACAGGTTTGGTTAACACTTTAACTCCATTCTTTATACAATGATGGGTAGAGTGAGGTATTAACAGAGGTAAGGACATTTCCGACTGATTAAAATGATCTTTTCAAGTGATTTTGGGTATAAAAATCAGAATGGATGAAAACATACATCTTTATGATGTGGCAACTGATCATGAGTGACAAATGCATGAAGTCAGTGATAGTTTGCTGGCTCCAAAGCTGTGGATAGAGTTATGTGCTTACAAGCTGAGTATTATATATGAGAGCACATGTAGTTAGTGTTACTGCTGTTTTGAAGGGTTAGTTTGAAAGCATATGTGGCACTTGTCTTGATGGTACATCAATATCATCATCATTAACTGCTTAGCTTAGTGATTGGAAGGGAAACATTGCTTAAGGCAGGAAACTGGTTTTGTAACTGTAGCCAACAGGCTGCTTTGCTTGATAAGCTGTATGTGGTAGGCATTGTGAAGTCCTGGTTGTGTAGGAGACAGCTATTGACAGCCAATGTTACAGTCAGATTTGTTTGTGGCAGTAGTCTGTGAATATCTATGGGGAGCTGTAACCTGGCAGCACTGTTACGGTGTGTGGCAATTTGTGAGGGATTTGTTAACAGCTTGTAGTTATTGGTATTAAAACTGTCATAAGAATGTAATGAGCAAGGCAGAAATTCCAACTGTTGTGTTCATATTTCTCTCTCAGATTAACGCCGCACATTAGCAATAAAAGCTCCACTTCTTTCAGGAAATAGTGATGTGGAAAACAAAATGCCATCTCTTTCCTTGATATTGCTGGTGTGACATAGCCACAATGTATCCCAAGAACCTGTCATTAGGGTATCACCACATCCAGAGTGGTCGCTTGGTCAATGTGTGTCTGTCGTACAAAACACAATCATGTCTGCTTCATTACTTTGTTGCCATTTATAGCAGAGTGAGAGAACTTTGTATGCTTGTCAGTCCTTATTAGATAATGTCATATGTTAAATTCTTGTTCTCCAAAGGTCAAGTTCTCAGACCTAGGGCTTTTCATAGGACCCCTATTTTTATCAGTAAATACATCTGTTGGAAATACATTCATGTCTACTTCATAGCTATGTAACCAGACTTTTTAGAGTCATGAAGCTTTGTAAGCTTGTTACCCACTAGTAGAAATTTGTCACATACCAAATTCTTGTTTGTTTTCCAAATTGGTTAAGCTTTCAAACTTTAGGTTTTTCAAGGAACCCCAAAATTGAACTAAAGAATATTGTGTCTGCTTCATTACTTTGTAACTGACAGCACTTTGCAAGGTTGTTTACATATATGAGAAGGTGAGCTGCTTTAGATTTTTGTACTTCAAAGGTCAAGGTCAACATAGGGATTCTCAATGTGCCTTATATGATGAACTACAGAAAGTTGTGACCCCTCCATAATTTTAATTAGCAAAGTCTTGCCATAACAGAAGAGCCTTTAAAGGTGGTTTCCGTTTCAGTATCATCTAGTTGTTTTCATGTTATGTTGATGAACTTATTTCGCCAATGTTGATAGTACTCACCAGTTTGGAAACACTTTTTGTGACTTGAATGGACTTTTCAGAGTAATATTCCCGAAAAATGTCACCGGTGTACAACATACCATGTCGTATATACAGGAAAGATGATATCAGTTTTAGAGAAAATATCAAAGATAAATTTGAAGTCTGATCATGTTTTCAAATGTTTGAAAATTAATTTTGAACTATTTAATATTTATACATGGCAACTTATGTAGAAAATATTTCATTACACATGTTTACTAATAGTGCTGTGTGTCATCTAGAAATCTTGACTTTTATATGTCACTGGGCATAAAAAACCTTGACCTTTTTGTGTTACCTAGAAACCTTGACCTTTTTGTGTTACCTAGAAACCTTGACCTTTTTGTGTTACCTAGAAACCTTGAATGTTTTGCATAACCTTGAAATCTTAAATTTTTTGTATCATCTAGAAACCTTAACCTTTTGTGTTACAGGCAGTGCATATGCCTATCAAGATGATGAGACATCCAGTGATAGTGATGATGAGGTACTTAAACGGTATCAGAGCACCCTCGCCACAACACACAGTATACGGCGCACAGATACGTCACAGAGTGTACGCAGCTGTAAGAGTGTAAAAAGTTCTAAAAGTAGGAAAAGTATAACAGGTAAGTACTATTCACTTCAGATTTTAGCTCACCATCATCAGATGGTTTGTTACTCAAAACGCCCTATGTCCATGGACTGTGGTTCATCAGTTGGTAAACAATTATTGTTCTCGTTATTTACTGAGAATGTTAAAAAAATAGTAACATGTATAGAGAAATGTTAATATACAGCAACATGTATAGAGAAATGTTAATATATAGCAACATGTATAGAGAAATGTTTATAGCTACATGTATAGAGAAATGTTTATAGCTACATGTATAGAGAAATGTTTATAGCTACATGTATAGAGAAATGTTAATTTATACATTAAACTGTTCTGTTGACATTGATGATAATCACAGAAAATCCTACAGTACTGTATTAACACTAGCACTGCAGTATTGTATTTTCCTGTCAAGCATTTGTCACATAGATTGACTATAAATGCCATATCATGACAATTCTGTGCTGAAATGTTTTATTAGTAATGCCTGATTTATTGGTTGGCAGTGTTGGGTCTGGAGTATTACACAGACTCCTGGATTATTATAGCTATTCCTTTATATATCTCCTATGTAAAATGAAAATTAACGGCAGTTACACAACATTGAACTGCAGCTTGTCACCAACAAGATTTTAAAAATTAATGTTAAAGATCTATCAAACCGTGTATCTCATTTTAGAAAATCAATTGAATCAATTTCAGGAGCATAAATCCAGTGAGAAATGAAAGGACATGCCATATACTGTACCAGTTTATGTTCTGTTGTCCTTTCTGTTTAAACATGTACCTTAACATGTGTTCAAATCACTTTTATTTCTCTATGAATAGAATAGTTGCATCATATTGTTTTATCAAATTAACATTTTTTAAAATTCTGAAGATATTTCACTGTAGAGAAACTAAAATTGATGATAGTTGGAATTTACATAACAACAAATATAAATGTCCATCAAAACTAGTTGTCCAGTGAAAATTATTATGTTTAAGACAAAATTAATAAAAAAATTAAACAGTACAGAATACTGTTACTTTCAGAGAAAAGCTACCTCTCTCCAAAAGACAAAGTATCACTGGTGCATGAGGGGGAGACAGGGTCGTCAATGGAGGAAGTACCACAGACCCCACGGGACTCAAGTGATGAGGAGAGTGTCCCTCAAACCCCCAAGGGCAGCAGTGAGGGAGGGAAGAGGAGCAGTCGTGCCGGAAGTGGAGCAGTTTCCCCAGAACCTTCTACAGCCTCACTCTCACCAAAGGGCTCACAGACGCAACTAACATTTGACAATCAGGCCTACCAGGGAGAGATCATTTCACCTTCTGCTTCAGGCAGTGAGCAAATATCTCTTGTTGGAGGAATGTCTGCAGACGTAAGTATCTCTGGGATGTCCTGGTTTAAAATCAAAACAGTTAAGGAAATTTTAAAATTCAACAAATTTTGAGAAAACAAGATAGTAATTCTTCCTTTCCTGTGACCTTCATCTTAACATTCAATATGATGTTTATACCACTATCCTTTATCAAATAACAGTAGACTTACTCCCCATAACTGTACCGTGTCTCTGTGTAATAACAGTAGACTTACTCCCCATAACTGTTCCTTGTCTCTGTGTAATACTTAATACTGCCTGATCAGCCCTATTGGTTAGTTGCAGTGTTAAGCTCCCTGAAATATTGATTTTGTAATATTTGATCCCACAAGGGAATTTGGCAATCTTCTTTAAATGGATTGCTGTGTCATAATTCCTGACGATTATGGATGGGGTTGTGTGTGGAATAATGCAGCCATCATATTTGTAATTATAATCCATGTGATACTGCAATTTTGTCCTGTAGTGATATTGTGTTGTGATTGTTGGGATTGGGTTATGATGTTGTCCAAAGTCATCTTAAATATTGATGTGGAGTGAGATTTATTCCATCATAATTAATTAATACTCTATAAAAATACATTTATTAGCTCACCTTGTCAGAAGACCAAAACCCATTTGTAATGGCATCCTTATTTCCGTGTATTTACTTTTTTAGGTTAAATCACCTGAATTGTCAGGATGACCTATAGCCATCATGTTCTTGTCTGTCGTTTTATGCTGTGCATTGTGCACTCATCCACCCTGCGTACACTTGCCATTCAACTGACATCTTATCAATAACCAGAAGGCTCAGGGTACTGATATTGGGCCTGCGGTATAATGGGATAATGGGCTACCAAGTTTGTTAATATGAATGACCTTAACTTGCTTTCAAGGTCACAGAGGTCATATATGTTCAAATATTAAAACAACTTCTTCTAAATAACCAAAGGCCCAGGGTGTTGATATTGGGCCTGTAGCATGCTGGGATGATGGGCTACCAAGTTTGTTCACCTTTGACCTACTGTCAAGGTCACAGGTGTTGGAAATATTTTGAAATATTTAAGCAACTTCTTCTCAATAACCGAAAGGCCAAGGCTCTTGATATTGGGCCTGTAGAATACTTTTTCAACAAGCAAAATGTTCGGAGTAATGGCATTTGTGTAGTGCATATATGAAGAATATGATTTAGAATTTGCAGAAAATGTCTTGATGAACCATCAATGCCTTCTATGTAAACTGTAGTGTAGTTGAACAATTTATTTTAGGCCTGTTTGGCCTCTTTCATATATAGGTCTTTATAGTTAGATGACCCTTAAAGACTGTGGGCCTCTTTTTCTTCAAAATATGATCAGTCTAAAATATTTTTGTGAGATATGGGCCGAATTTCAAAACTTTTTTAGGTCATTTACTCAAAGGGTCAAGATGTTTCTATTGCTAAAGTGCAACAACATGGTCCATAAACTGTTCCTTTATATCACTACTCCTGTTTAGCCCCTTGGTGGAATTCAATCAAATTTTCTCTGAAACATTTGGGATGGGGGATCATTTCTTAAATTCAGAAATTTGATTTGACTCTAGAGACCAGGAGATTGGGCTCCAAATGGGTAGTTAGACAATACTTCGCTTCAAAATGCTACTTTTCCTTAATGCTTAAATGGATTTCATTCAAGTTTTGTCTGTAACATCAGTAGGGGTTGGCAAATAATTCTTAAATTCAAAATTTGATTCAACCCTTAGGGACATGGGAGAAATTAGACAAGTTTGCTTCAAAACACTACTCCTTGTTAATGTCTTGGTAGATTTCAACCAAATTTGGCCTGAAACATTATCATGGAGTGGCAATGATATCAAACATGAATGAAGTGATCTTGGTATTGCCCTAACCAAATCGTATTGTTACACTTTGGTCCCAAAGCCAACATAGAATAAATAGTCTGAACTTCTTCTCATGTTTCAGTCACATTAATGAAAAAAATATTTGGAATTTGAATTTGAAAAAGAAAAAAAAAAGAGACAATATGTTGTTACGTTGCAGTTTGATCAAAACTTCAACATGGTAACCACAGTAGTTATTTTGTAACATGATGGTGCAGCTGTTTATCATGCACAAAACTACCATTTATGAGTTTCTGATACTTTCTAGGAACGTTCAAAATTTGAATTCATCAGATTTGTCAGACCAACATCAGCTGACTTTGTGGTTTGTCCATCCACTCGTCAATTGTCAGGGCCATGACCCTCTTGTTTTGGAGGGAAATATAATTGTATAAGAGAAAGTTGTGGCCCTTCAGGGTGGGAAGAAATTCGAGGTGTGTGTAAAGTGTATGGCCCACAAAAGGGATATATAATGTTAAATGTATCTATCAATCATAAATATTTAATCAATCCTTTTTGTTAGTGAGAGGTAAACCACAAGAAATAGTTGTAGTATTAATGTATTAATGGCTCTGATTCCTAAACAACCAGGTAATTGATACATGAAAGAAAAAGGTTTTACAAATGGACAAGTAACTATATTACATCTTCATAGTGTTGTTTGTATTGCTTTAATCACTGATAAATAGGATACACGTTATGATGATCTTCACTGTAAAATTGTTAATATTTTATAGTAATAATATATGGAAATAAAACATAGAGTTAAACTTGGGAACATTATTTTGTTAACAGGAACACTTGTTCAGTGGGTAAAAATAAACTTGTGAACTTTATTTTGTGAACCAGAACACTTGTTCAGTAGGTAAAAGTAAACTTGGGAACATTATTTTGTGAACAGGAACACTTGTTCAGTAGGTAAAAATAAACTTGTGAACATTATTTTGTGAACAGGAACACTTGTTCAGTGGATAAAAATAAACTTGTGAACATTATTTTGTTAACAGGAACACTTGTTCAGTGGATAAAAATAAACTTGTGAACATTATTTTGTTAACAGGAACACTTGTTCAGTGGATAAAAATAAACTTGTGAACTTTATTTTGTGAACAGGAACACTTGTTCAGTGGGTAAAAATAAACTTGTGAACATTATTTTGTTAACAGGAACACTTGTTCAGTGGATAAAAATAAACTTGTGAACATTATTTTGTGAACAGGAACACTTGTTCAGTGAATAAAGATAAACTTGTGAACTTTATTTTGTGAACAGGAACACTTGTTCAGTGGGTAAAAATAAACTAGTGAACTTTATTTTGTTAACAGGAACACTTGTTCAGTGGGTAAAAATAAACTTGTGAACTTTATTTTGTGAACAGGAACACTTGTTCAGTGGGTAAAAATAAACTTGTGAACTTTATTTTGTGAACAGGAACACTTGTTCAGTGGGTAAAACTAAACTTGTGAACTTTATTTTGTGAACAGGAACACTTGTTCAGTGGGTAAAAATAAACTTGTGAACATTATTTTGTTAACAGGAACACTTGTTCAGTGGATAAAAGTAAACCTGTGAACTTTATTTTGTTAACAGGAACACTTGTTCAGTGGGTAAAAATAAACTTGTGAACATTATTTTGTTTACAGGAACACTTGTTTGATGTCAGTGATCTACAAAAGGAACCTCCATTAATCTCTAAGTGTGGCAGTTTAGAAATGACATTTTCATATGACCCTAAACGAGGGCGTATGGCGGTAACAATACACCAGGCACAGGAGATTCCCAGTAAGGAAAGAGGCGGAGCAAGTAATACACAGGTCCGCCTCCTACTCCTCCCCTCAAAGAAACACCGTTTTAAAACCAAGGCAAAGCCAGGCGAAAACCCTATGTTCCAGGAGACATTCTTATTCACCAAAATTCCACAAGGTATGATGTTTATGTGATGGTTTATATAATAGATAAGAGATATAAAGTTATGTATATAATAAAAGATATGATAATTACAGTAAGTATGTAATAGATAAATTGTAATGCTAGATTATTATAGGTAGGGAATATATACATTATTATACAATATTATTATAGATAGATATCATAGATATATGATAGATACATTGTAATACTATATTATCATAGGTATGTAATAAACATTGTAAGATGATATTATCACATGTATGTAATAGATACATTGTAATACTTTATTATCATAGGTATGTAATAAACATTGTAAGATGATATCATCACATGTATGTAATAGATACATTGTAATACTATATTATCATAGGTATGTAATAAACATGGTAAGATGATAATATCACATGTATGTAATAGATACATTGTAATACTTTATTATCATAGGTATGTAATAAACATTGTAATACTGGGTTATTATATGTACCGTATTTCACCGCAAATAAGCCCCTCCCGCTAATAGGCCCCCCCACCAATTTTTCCAATTTGCCAGTAATAGGGGGGTATTCGCAATTAAGCCCCCCCCCCCCCATTTTTTTTTAAAAAAAAACATAAAATAGTCATCTTGTGTCTGTACACAGAAGAAGTACATGGGTATGGAATCCGGATACGACTGTATGGTTTGGAGCGGATGAGAAGGGAGAGGATGATTGGAGAGAGCATCATTGGCTTTGCTTCTCTGAACCTGGAGATGGCATGTACCCATTGGGTGATTCTGGAGCCCCGCAGTAATCTCAGTGTAAGTTGAAACTACACTAGCACACCTAACTCTAAATCTCCCGAGGGGGTCAGGACATCCCCAGGGAAGCTGTTATATACCTACCTAACTCTAAATCTCCCGAGGTGGTCAGGACATCCCCAGGTAAGCTGTTACATACATACCTACCTAACTCTAAATCTCCCGAGGGGGTCAGGACATCCCCGGGGAAGCTGTTACATACCTACCTAACTCTGAATCACCCTCAGGACATCCCCGGGGAAGCTGTTACATACCTACCTAACTCTAAATCTCCCTCAGGACATCCCCAGGGAAGCTGTTACATACCTACCTAACTCTGAATCTCCCTCAGGACATCCCCAGGGAAGCTGTTACATACCTACCTAACTCTAAATCTCCTGAGGGGGTCAGGACATCCCCAGGGAAGCTGTTACATACCTACCTAACTCTGAATCTCCCTCAGGACATCCCCGGGGAAGCTGTTACATACCTACCTAACTCTAAATCTCCCTCAGGACATCCCCAGGGAAGCTGTTACATACCTACCTAACTCTAAATCTCCCTCAGGACATCCCCAGGGAAGCTGTTACATACCTACCTAACTCTGAATCTCCTGAGGGGGTCAGGACATCCCCGGGGAAGCTGTTACATACCTACCTAACTCTAAATCTCCCTCAGGACATCCCCGGGGAAGCTGTTACATACCTACCTAACTCTGAATCTCCGTCAGGACATCCCCAGGGAAGCTGTTACATACCTACCTAACTCTAAATCTCCCTCAGGACATCCCCAGGGAAGCTGTTACATACCTACCTAACTCTAAATCTCCCTCAGGACATCCCCAGGGAAGCTGTTACATACCTACCTAACTCTGAATCTCCCTCAGGACATCCCCAGGGAAGCTGTTACATACCTACCTAACTCTAAATCTCCCTCAGGACATCCCCAGGGAAGCTGTTACATACCTACCTAACTCTGAATCTCCCTCAGGACATCCCCAGGGAAGCTGTTACATACCTACCTAACTCTAAATCTCCCTCAGGACATCCCCGGGGAAGCTGTTACATACCTACCTAACTCTGAATCTCCCTCAGGACATCCCCAGGGAAGGGAAGCTGTTACATACCTACCTAACTCTGAATCTCCCTCAGGACATCCCCAGGGAAGCTGTTACATACCTACCTAACTCTGAATCACCCTCAGGACATCCCCTGGGAAGCTGTTACATACCTACCTAACTCTGAATCACCCTCAGGACATCCCCAGGGAAGCTGTTACATACCTACCTAACTCTGAATCTCCCTCAGGACATCCCCGGGGAAGCTGTTACATACCTACCTAACTCTAAATCTCCCGAGGGGGTCAGGACATCCCCAGGGAAGCTGTTACATACCTACCTAACTCTAAATCTCCCTCAGGACATCCCCAGGGAAGCTGTTACATACCTACCTAACTCTGAATCTCCCTCAGGACATCCCCAGGGAAGCTGTTACATACCTACCTAACTCTAAATCTCCCTCAGGACATCCCCAGGGAAGCTGTTACATACCTACCTAACTCTGAATCTCCCTCAGGACATCCCCAGGGAAGCTGTTACATACCTACCTAACTCTGAATCTCCCTCAGGACATCCCCAGGGAAGCTGTTACATACCTACCTAACTCTGAATCACCCTCAGGACATCCCCAGGGAAGCTGTTACATACCTACCTAACTCTGAATCTCCGTCAGGACATCCCCAGGGAAGCTGTTACATACCTACCTAACTCTTAATCTCCCGAGGGGGTCAGGACATCCCCAGGGAAGCTGTTACATACCTACCTAACTCTGAATCTCCCTCAGGACATCCCCAGGGAAGCTGTTACATACCTACCTAACTCTAAATCTCCCTCAGGACATCCCCAGGGAAGCTGTTACATACCTACCTAACTCTTAATTTCCAGAGGGGGTCAGAACATCCCAAGGGAAGCTCTTACACACCTTCCTTATTCTGAATCTCATGAGGGGTCAAGAGATCTCCAGGTAAACTCTTACATACCAGCCTAATTGTTAATCTCCTGAGGGGTCAAAACAACCTCAGGGTAAACTCTTACGTATCTACCTAATTCTGAATGTTCTGAGGGGGTCACACCATCCTAGGTAGGGTTTCATACCAGCCTAGGGTTGTTAATCTCCTGAGGGTTGTCAAGAACTCTAGTAAGGGTGATGTTCTTACAGGGTTGTGATGTTCTCTAGTAGGGATTCTGAATGTTCTCTAGTTGGGGTCAAGGTCTCTGGTAGGGTGGTGAATTCTACATTAGGGTTTTCAAACTAGTAAGGTTGTGGTGATGTTCTCTAGTAGGGTTGTAGGTGATGTTCATCTAGTAGGAAATTTTGATTGGGTTCAATCCACCATGGTTCCTAGTAGGGTTTTCAAGGTCTCTAGTAGGGTTGTGATGTTCTCTAGTAGGGTTGTGATGTTCTCTAGTAGGGTTGTCAAGGTCTCTAGTAGGGTTGTGATGTTCTCTAGTAGGGTTTTCAAGGTCTCTAGTAGGGTTGTGATGTTCTCTAGTAGGGTTGTGATGTTCTTAAGTAGGGTGGTGATGTTCTCTAGTAGGGTTGTCAAGGTCTCTAGTAGGGTTGTGATGTTCTCTAGTAGGGTTGTGATGTTCTCTAGTAGGGTTTTCAAGGTCTCTAGTAGGGTTGTGATGTTCTCTAGTAGGGTTTTCAAGGTCTCTAGTAGGGTGGTGATGTTCTCTAGTAGGGTTGTCAAGGTCTCTAGTAGGGTTGTGATGTTCTCTAGTAGGGTTGTCAAGGTCTCTAGTAGGGTTGTGATGTTCTCTAGTAGGGTTGTGATGTTCTCTAGTAGGGAGGTGATGTTCTCTAGTTGGGTTTTCAAGGTCTCTGGTAGGGTGGTGATGTTCTCTGGTAGGGTTTTCAAGGTCTCTAGTAAGGTTGTGATGTTCTCTAGTAGGGTTGTGATGTTCTCTAGTAGGGTTGTGATGTTCTCTAGTAGGGAGGTGATGTTCTCTAGTTGGGTTTTCAAGGTCTCTGTTAGGGTGGTGATGTTCTCTAGTAGGGTTTTCAAGGTCTCTAGTAGGGTTGTGATGTTCTCTAGTAGGGTTGTGATGTTCTCTAGTAGGGTTGTCAAGGTCTCTAGTAGGGTTGTGATGTTCTCTAGTAGGGTTGTGATGTTCTCTAGTAGGGTTGTGATGTTCTCTAGTAGGGTTGTCAAGGTCCCTAGTAGGGTTGTGATGTTCTCTAGTAGGGTTTTCAAGGTCTCTAGTAGGGTTGTGATGTTCTCTAGTAGGGTTGTGATGTTCTCTAGTAGGGTGGTGATGTTCTCTAGTAGGGTTGTCAAGGTCTCTGTTAGGGTGGTGATGTTCTCTAGTAGGGTTGTGATGTTCTCTAGTAGGGTTGTGATGTTCTCTAGTAGGGTGGTGATGTTCTCTAGTTGGGTTTTCAAGGTCTCTGTTAGGGTGGTGATGTTCTCTAGTAGGGTTTTCAAGGTCTCTAGTAGGGTTGTGATGTTCTCTAGTAGGGTTGTGATGTTCTCTAGTAGGGTTGTCAAGGTCTCTAGTAGGGTTGTGATGTTCTCTAGTAGGGTTGTCAAAGTCTATAGTAGGGTTGTGATGTTCTCAAGTAGGGTTATGATGTTCTCTAGTAGGGTTGTCAAGGTCTCTAGTAGGGTGGTGATGTTCTCTAGTAGGGTTGTCAAGGTCTCTAGTAGGGTGGTGATGTTCTCTAGTAGGGTTGTGATGTTCTCTAGTAGGGTGGTGATGTTCTCTAGTAGGGTTGTCAAGGTCTCTAGTAGGGTGGTGATGTTCTCTAGTAGGGTTGTCAAGGTCTCTGGTAGGGTGGTGATGTTCTCTAGTTGGGTTGTCAAGGTCTCTAGTAGGGTGGTGATGTTCTCTAGTAGGGTTGTCAAGGTCTCTAGTAGGGTTGTGATGTTCTCTAGTAGGGTTGTGATGTTCTCTAGTAGGGTTGTGATGTTCTTAATTAGGATGGTGAGGTTTTATAGGTGGTTTATCAAGGTCTATGGTAGTGTGGTGATGTTCTCTAGTAGGTTTGTCAAGGTCTCTAGTAGGTTTGTTATGTTCTCTAGTAGGGTTGTGATGTTCTCTAGTAGTAGGGTGGTGATGTTCTCAGTAGGGTCAAGGTCTCTAAGGGTTGTCTAGTAGGGTTGGTAGTAGGGTGGTGATGTTCTCTAGTAGGGTTGTCAAAGTAGGGGTGATGTTGGTTAGTTGGGTTTTAGGTTGTGATGTTCTCTAGGTCTCTAGTAGGGTTGATGTTCTCTAGTAGGGGTGATGTTCTCTAGTAGGGTTGTGATGTTCTCTAGTAGGGTTGTGATGTTCTCTAGTAGGGTTGTGATGTAGGGTTGTCTCTCTAGTAGGGTTGTGATGTTCTCTAGTAGGGTTTCAAGGTCTCTAGTAGGGTGGTGATGTTCTCTAGTAGGGTGATGTGATGTTGTTCTAGTAGGGTTGTTCTTAAAGGTCTCTAGTAGGGTGTGTGATGTTCTCAGTAGTATGTTCTCTAGTAGGGTTGTGGGTGGTGATATAGTCTCTGGTGTGTTCTCTCTAGTAGGGTTGATGATCAAGGTTCTGTAGGGTGGTGATGTTCTCTAGTAGGAAAGATGTAGGGTTGTGATGTTCTCTAGTAGGGTTGTCATCAGGTGATGTTCTCAGTAGGGTTGTCAAGGTCCCTGTAGGGTTGTGAGGGTTGCCATAGTAGGGTGGTGATGTTCTCTAGTAGTCTCTAGTAGGGTGGTGATGTTCTCTAGTAGGGTTGTCAAGGTCTCTAGTAGGGTTGTGATGTTCTCTAGTAGGGTTGTGATGTTCTTAAGTAGGATGGTGATGTTTTCTAGTTGGGTTTTCAAGGTCTCTGGTAGGGTGGTGATGTTCTCTAGTAGGGTTTTCAAGGTCTCTAGTAGGGTTGTGATGTTCTCTAGTAGGGTTGTGATGTTCTCTAGTAGGGTTGTGATGTTCTCTAGTAGGGTGGTGATGTTCTCTAGTAGGGTTGTTAAGGTCTCTAGTAGGGTTGTGATTTATCCAGTAGGGTGATGATATTTTCTATAAGCAAGATCGTGATTTTCTATATATAGATTCTTGAGCAGTGTTCTTCACTTAGCCTGGTGTCTCGTTTCTTTTAATTCAACCATCATTAAAGCAAACATGTTTTATTGTGCATGGTTTTATTGTAGACTGTAGTTATGTGGTAGGGTATTAAGATTTCAAACTTAACTAGAAGTATTAATCATTTTTAAATAGCTGGAACCATGGTTACTCTAAGTTGTGATGAACGCTGTAGTGTGTTGATTGACAGCCACGTCTGTTATAGAAGACACCAGTATAATTACATCGCTAGTTTCTCCTGTTGACTAGCACCAAAGTATCCCCAGTTGTAGCCTCTAATCATGTTATTGAAATGCAAAATTTTAATTGGATTTTAGTTTCAATATGTGTCTGTACCTCTGGAGGACTGAATCAATAAAGAATAGAAAGATGTATGGGTTATATTATCAAGTCATCAGGTTCACTGTTGTGTGCCATATCTACGTGTGTTTCTATGCTTGTTTGATATTTACATTTTTCTGGGCACTTATCATGCACTGTTTCCCGTTTGAAAAATGTGGGAACATTGGAAAAAGTTGGAATATACCGTAATATAGGATATAATAGGTGACATAGTGTTGAGCTGTACAATATCATGGTATCATCGTTTGTCAGAAAACATTGAGAAAAGTTGGAATATGATATAGGATATAATAGGTGACATAGTGTTGAGCTGTACAATATCATTTTCTCATTGTTTGTCATTAAACATTGGGAAAAGCTTGAATATAAAGGAATGTTAAAGACGAGATATGGATTATAGTGTTGAACGGTACAATATCATGGTCTCATCGTCTGTTGGAAAACACAGGGAAATGTTGGAATATAAGGATAGAGAACATATAACTTGGAATGCTTATTGCTAGGACACACACAGTGTAATATACAAACCCTGCTCATGTCACTATGCCTTAATTTAATCACTCACCTATAGCTATTCATTGTAACGTCAATAAATCATAACCTTCATATTTTATTGATGACAATGTGGGTACTTAATTTTAGATTACCAGACATCCTAAAGACACGCTCAAGATATGTGTTTCATTAGGTCCCATCATCACACACTGTGCATATCACTTACATTTGATTTCAGGTGTTCGTCAGACAGTCATATTGCTGTTTCTCAGAAAGTACTGAGGGGATACTGTAGAGACTTTGTGAGTCTGTTGTAATGAAATATGTAAATCATTGTGTATTTGCTGTGATAAATTACTTGTAATGTACACTTATTTCCCTGAATTTGTCGTACCATACATATTGGTGTTATTTCTACCATCTAATGACTTGTTGTTACATTTCTCTAGGAGTTTTGAAACAATAGAGAATTTCACTTTGGTTTGGACATGTGAATAATGTTTACATGTTGGGGATATAGAAATGTTCCTGTATGTAACATACATATGTTTGTACATAACATCAAACTTGTCAGCACTCTAGCAGCTTTATCCCTTGATAGAGCAAATTCTTCAAAATTCTTTTTCTTCTGTTGGAATGTGTGGACGTTATCCCAATATAGTTTTCAGCATCCTTGGGTGAGGGGAAATCAATTTTGTATCATTGTTAGGTCTCGGCACCCTGGGGCAGGAGGATCGAGGCCAAATATGAGAATGAAAGTAAATTCTTTAAAATCCTTACTCTATTGGAATGACCCAATTTTGTCCAAATTTGATCTGAAGCATTCTTGGGTGAAGAAAACTAGTTTTGTTAAAATTGGGCAGGGCTTATAGGGAATACAGATACAAGTGTATTAAATACTTTTCTAATTTCGGCAAACTAAACTAGGTGAGCAATACAGGCCCTCTTGTTAGAAAAGCACTCATCACTGTTGTGGCTTCATTCCTAGAGGGATTTCAATCAAGTTTTGCATTCATATGAAATCATATATATTCATATACCATTTTTTCACAGATGAATTGAACTTTCAGAGTTATAAGGTCAAGGTCATTGTTATCCCTAGATACTAATAGAAAATTCTTGTTAGCAGTGCAGTAACTTCATTTCTTGTAGGATTTTAATCAAACTTCACACACTTGACCATCTTCTGGTCAAATAGAGGGTAGCATTGCTTCAAGTTTAGCAATTTTATCGAAATATCAATTTTTTTGCCATGATCTAGAAACAAACAGAAGATTTATTTTCTGAACCTAAAAAGTCCAGAAAAGAGATGTACAGAACAAAACTTCTCATATTTCAAATCTCTGGCATGTGGTGATGATCTAAATGATTTGAAAAAATTTTTAAAGAAAAACATTCTACAATATATCATTTATAGAACTCAATTTTTGCTGTAATAGTTACATTATAACGAAAAGGGTAAATAAAAACACAATAATCTGTTAAATATAGATTATTTGTAATTTTTTGATATAGCTGCATTGAAATTCATTTTATATTGAATTATGTCCTAGTTTCGGTCAAACATGCGGTTCATACATTGTTAAGTCAAGTTGAACTGCATAAGGACATGTATTATTGTGATTCATTTTCATTGTTTCCTTATTTGTAATTCTTAGGGTGGTGACTCCAGGTTTGATGTCTCAAGTTTATCACGCAGTGACAGTGCTTCATCTACACAGTCCATGCAGCATGGAGGCATGCCTGAACTGTTACTAGGTCTTGCTTACAACGGCACCACAGGTCGCCTGTCTGTTGAGGTCATCAAGGGCAGTAACTTCAGGAATATGGCCATGAACAGGGCCCCAGGTATGTATACTAAGCCTATCACACAGACATTGCCCTCCATATGTATGTGGATCCAAAGGCATGAACAGGGCCTTGAGTTTACACTTAAAGCCTAAATCATGTGACCAGGGCCCTAAGTATACATATCCTAAATCATGTGACCAGGGACCTGAGTATATATATTATAAATCATGTGACCATGGCTCTGAGAATACATATCCCAACTCATGTGACCATGGTCCTGAGTATATATATTCTAAATCATGTGACCAGGGCCCTGAGTATATATATCCTAAATCATGTGACCAGGGCCCTGAGTATATATATCCTAAATCATGTGACCAGGGCTCTGAGTATATATATATATATCCTAAATCATGTGATCAGGGCTCTGAGTATATATATCCTAAATCATGTGACCAGGGCTCTGAGTATATATATATATATCCTAAATCATGTGATCAGGGCTCTGAGTGTATATATATATATCCTAAATCATGTGATCAGGGCCCTGAGTATATATATCCTAAATCATGTGATCAGGGCCCTGAGTATGTATATATCATAAATCATGTGACCAGGGCCCTGAATATATAAATCCTAAATCATGTGACCAGGGCTCTGAGTATATATATCCTAAATCATGTGACCAGGGCTCTGAGTATATATATATATCCTAAATCATGTGATCAGGGCCCTGAGTATATATATCTTAAATCATGTGACCATGGCCCTGAGAATACATATCCTAAATCATGTGACCAGGGCCCTGAGTATATATATCCTAAATCATGTGACCAGGGCTCTGAGTATATATATATATCCTAAATAATGTGATCAGGGCCCTGAGTATATATATCCTAAATCATGTGATCAGGGCTCTGAGTATATCTATATATCCTAAATCATGTGACCAGGGCCCTGACTATATATATCCTAAATCATGTGACCAGGGCTCTGAGTATATATATCCTAAATCATGTGACCAGGGCTCTGAGTATATATATATATCCTAAATCATGTGACCAGGGCCCTGAGTATATATATATATCCTAAATCATGTGATCAGGGTCCTGAAAGCTGGGCTTTAGGTATGGACTTACCCATTTGTATCTAAACAGCCCTACATATATACTGAGGGACTATCATGAGAATCATGAGACTGTATTAGGAGTAGGGTCTTAGATATGTATTCTACTCACATTTTGCTAATGATAATTTTATTTCTGGGAATATCTGAACATAAATATTTTTGGTCCACCATCATCAATTAGGGGGCTTTTCAAGTTGCTCTTTGTATGTTGTCCTTCTGTGTTTTTGTCCAATCCATCCATATTTAAACAATCCTTGTTGTCACTATTTAAAAAAAAAACATCTTTTGAACAAAACTGATCTTGGATGATCTGATATAGATCAGTGAGTAGTATCATCAGTCCATTTGTTGAATAGTATCTATATACTGCTCAGTCACTCATGCTTCACTTCATCTAGTATTATTATCAGTTATGATGACATCAACCCACAGCTCCAGTATGGGGTCTAATATAGGTATCAAGGATTTCATTGCAGTCAATCGAACCTATAAGTGTATTTTTAGAGACATGAAGGTCTAGAATTTCCCAATTAAGGCTAATGCCTCCCCACACAGTCACTTACTCACTATCATAAATGTTCCATACAATGTTACCTATCTGGAACCTCTCACTAGGTTGTCTCCATACTCTCACGTGGTGGTCAGTGAAGTCAAGATGGAATCTAGACTCATCAGTAAAAAGAACCAGTTCCTACCCCTAAAGAGTCAAAGTGCTTTGAGTTTAGGTCAAATCTTACTGGTCTCTATCATGGTTGGCATTTAAGGGGATTCATATTGAAGCTACCACCATGAATACTGTGCCTAACTGTCTGAGTGGGTACCTGGTTAACAGAGGCATTTAGGAGATCATTTTGTAAATCTTCGGCTGTCAGGAACCTGTAACGCAATGTCTGTATGAGCAAAAATCACAGTTGTTGCTGCATCGTTGCACTGAAATGACCTCCAATAAGATGTCTGAAAGGGACTCTGTTAGTTTGGAAATGATGCCACATTTTTGATACCCTAAGGTCTGATTCATCTTTGTGCTATAAAGGGAAAACACAAAGAACAGGCATGAAATGGATTACTTTACAATTAGAATAACTCCTTACTTTGAGTAGCTTAGCTTCAGAAAGAGGGGTTCCTACTATTCTTATCAACATTTGAACTTTTTTTTCAAAATAAAAGCAATTTTTAGCAAAATGTGAGTAGTATATGTAAACGCTACATTATAAAAGATCATCTTCGAGTTTGTTTTAACACTGTTTTACAAAAACTAGACCCAAGTTACACACCTGTATGAGCCCTATCAGTATTAATAATAGAATTGAACACAACCGGAAAAAAAATCTCTCCAAGTTTTTATGATATTTTGATCTTCTTAGATACAGAAACTTGTAATCAATTATTTTTTATCAAATAATATGTCTTGTTTGTATCAGAAGAAGTAAATACAGACTTGCTTGTGACATGTGGCTCTTTTGTTTTTCCAGACACATATGTTAAGTTGACATTGATGTCACCTACTGGACAGGAGGTAGCACGCAGTAAGACATCCATCAGGCGTGGCCAACCTAACCCACTGTTTAAAGAAACATTCATGTTTCAAGTGGCACTATTCCAGTTGGCTGAGGTCACCCTTATGGTGTCTGTCTATAATAAGCGTAGTATGAAGAAGAAGGATATGATTGGATGGTTTTCTAGTGGTAAATATTTATCCTTGAAATGTTTTTTACAGTCTATACTCAAATTTTCATAAGCAATAAAAAAAGGAATGACAAAATTAACTAACATACTAGTGAAATAATTTCTATTATCTGACATCATCAATCTTTGTGCTTTTTGTGTGCCACCATATTATTATGACATCATCAATCTTTGTTCTCTTCTGTGTGCCTACATATTATTATGACATCATCAGTCTTTGTTCTCTTCTGTGTGCCTACATATTAGTCTGACATCATCAGTCTTTGTTCTCTTCTGTGTGCCTACATATTAGTCTGACATCATCAATCTTTGTTCTCTTCTGTGTGCCAACGTATTAGTCTGACATCATCAATCTTTGTTCTCTTCTGTTAATACATATTTGTGTAACATCATCAATGTATGCTTTGTGTGCAGGTCTGAACAGCAGTGGAGATGAGGAGCTTTCTCATTGGACAGATATGAGAGAAAGTAAAGGAGATCAAGTTTGTCGATGGCATGTCCTCTTAGAATCGTGATTCATCCTCTTGTCCCCAGTCAGCATTTATTGGCACCATCTGGACCACAGAGCCACTGCCTCACATTATTTACCTTTACATTACTACCATGCATTATTGACATTAATTCTACATGGGTTGGTCTTGGTTATGTTGATGTGAAGGATGCTGATACTGTATCCATGACAACGGTGACCTTGTCACCACAAAATCTTGTGGTCCAGAGTACAGATTTGGTATATCTCTCATTATGGACTGTAATATATATTTGGGGTTTTTGAAGATTTTCACATGTATATGAATAAAAGTGATTACAGAGTGACTTTCAACCCAGATATCAGCAGACAAGACCAGTCACTATGACATCTCTATACAGTCATTATAGATGTTTTAGTAAATAAGAGCTAGCCTCTTGTCAAAAGTGATTTTGTGAATTGTCTATGCCCAAGCTGTGAATGGTATGAGAGGCCTCTGTAAAAGGGGAACACTTCTAAAACGAATTTAGACAGTTGTAATGGAGCCCAAATAGAACAAATCTAGATAGGTATAGAGAAGGCCTTAAAACAAATCTAGATACGGTAGTTACAGTAGATGCATTCTCATACAAATCTAGATAGTTACAGAGGATCCTTCTAAAACAAATCTAGATAGTGACAGAGGATCCTTCTAAAACAAATCTAGATAGTTACAGAGGATCCTTCTAAAACAAATCTAGATAGTTACAGAGGATCCTTCTAAAACAAATCTAGATAGTTACAGAGGATCCTTCTAAAACAAATCTAGATAGTTACAGAGGATCCTTCTAAAACAAATCTAGATAGTTACAGAGGATCCTTCTAAAACAAATCTAGATAGTTACAGAGGATCCTTCTAAAACAAATCTAGATAGTTACAGAGGATCCTTAAAACAAATCTAGAAAACAAATCTAGACAAGTTACAGAGGATCCTTCTAAAACAAATCTAGATAGTTACAGAGGATCCTTCTAAAACAAATCTAGATAGTTACAGAGCATCCAACTAAAACAAATCTAGATAGTTACAGAGGATCCTTCTAAAACAAATCTAGATAGTTACAGAGGATCCTTTAAAACAAATCTAGATAGTTACAGAGGAAAACAAATCTAGATAGTTACAGAGGATCCTTCTAAAACAAATCTAGATAGTTACAGAGGATCCTTCTAAAACAAATCTAGATAGTTACAGAGGATCCTTCTAAAACAAATCTAGATAGTTACAGAGGATCCTTCTAAAACAAATCTAGATAGTTACAGAGGATCCTTCTAAAACAAATCTAGATAGTTACAGAGGATCCTTCTAAAACAAATCTAGATAGTTACAGGGGATCCTTCTAAAACAAATCTAGATAGTTACAGGGGATCCTTCTAAAACAAATCTAGATAGTTACAGGGGATCCTTCTAAAACAAATCTAGATAGTTACAGAGGATCCTTCTAAAACAAATCTAGATAGTTACAGAGGATCCTTCTAAAACAAATCTAGATAGTTACAGAGGATCCTTCTAAAACAAATCTAGATAGTTACAGAGGATCCTTCTAAAACAAATCTAGATAGTGACAGAGAAGCCCCTCTATAACAATTCTATACAGTTTAAGGAGAGCCCATTTGTAACAAATTTAAATTGATATACAGGTGAGCTCTTTTGTAACAAATTTATACAGCCACATTGGAGTTGTTTACGATAGATATTGGAAATTGTTTGAGATAAACTTTTCTATGTAAGATTGAGGTTTTTATCCATATTTTAAAAAAAACTTCATTTTCCTAGTAAAACTCCTATGTACTCTGTACATGCTCTTAGACCTAATAATTTCAGTCTGTTCTGAAATAGTGTAATATTAAAATATTAAAACTTACGGACCACAAAGTTTGTGGGAAAGCCATTTTTAAATTTACGTTGTATTAAAAAGTCATGTTTAGCTTCTCTTGTTGTAATAAAGAATGAAACAATACCAAAAAAATATGTAGTCGGTCTTCAGGTTGAAATAATACCAAAATACTCTGTTTTTCACCTGTGTTAAATCTTTAATTTATCTAGAAATAACCTTCCATTTTGTTTAGAGAGTGTTTCACCCAAACAATAGCTCTTATGTTGTGAAGCTGACGTACCATGTGATTGATTCTGATTTAAATCTTAGTGTTGATGGATAAGCTCTCTGGTTCATTAGTGCGTAAATGATATATGTGTTCTTTGTGACAAGGGAGGCAATTCTCCTTGTCATAATTTGTAAAACACAGGGTGAATAAACCGATACAGATAACATTCTCTCTAGATTTGTTGGTTTTTTTATAACAATCAAATCAATTAATTGAAATGTTGATTGTCATTTTGATTCTTCAGACCAATTTGATAGTTGCATTTTTCTGTGATCTGTTTATTTTTCATAAAAATCTGCTCGGTTGTATTTAAACTTAGCTATCAATCCAGTTGTTGCAATCAACAAATGAATGTAATTTTTTGTTGAACTATTTCCTCAGGTTTAATACAAAAAGCACTTTCTTCCGAGATAAGAAATAAGATGTTTTTGTTGTTAATGATTCTTGTGTAATTCTTACTGTTCACTGTTACACTCATCAATCTCTCGTTAAATGATTCCAGCTTTTTGTTGTTGCTATGTAATCAGGATACAAACACCATTCCTTCAAGTATTATTGTTCATTCAAATGTTCTTGAATTCAAAATTTACTTTACACTTTTTATTGTCAAGAGGTGATCTTTTTAACATATTCAGTACATGTATCATCCATTTCCCTGAAGGTTCATATGTATCTATAATCACACTTGAGGGTTCTTATGAACTGGTGTCTACATATGAGGGTTCTTATGAACCGGTGTTTACATGTGAGGGTTCTTATGAACCGGTGTTTACATGTGAGGGTTCTTATGAACCGGTGTTTACATGTGAGGGTTCTTATGAACCAGTGTTTATATGTGAGGGTTCTTGTATGCCTGTGTTCACACTTGAAGGTTCATATTAACCTGGGTTCAAACTTGAAGGTTTGTATGTACCTCTGTTCTCTCTCGGAGGTTCGTGTGTTTACACATTAAAGTTAGTAAGAATCTGTGATCACCATTGAAGGTTCTTAATGTAGCTGTGTTCACACTAATATTTGTATGTTCCTGTGTTCACACTTAAAGGCTCGTATGTACCTGTGTTCACACTTAAAGGCTCGTATGTACCTGTGTTCACACTTAAAGGCTCGTATGTACCTGTGTTCACACTTAAAGGTTCGTATGTACCTGTATTTACATGTTAAGGTTCTGATGTACCTGTATTTACACGTTAAGGTTATGATGTACCTGTATTTACATGTGAAAGTATGTAAGAATCTGTGTTCACATATGAAGATTCTTATGTATCTGTTTTCATTTGAAAGTTCATATGAACATGTGTTCACTTGAGAGTATAAGGCATTCCATGATTGTTATCTACTGTAATGAGTATTAAACTTACATAGCTATGGCAATAGTGTTTGATGCATTGTGTTTGAATTATACTGTACCAGATATATCTAGTTTGCATAAAGATGAGAGGAGTTATCTTGTTACACCATTTTTGTTATTAAGGGAGATTCCTTCTTATACCTTCTCTGTTATCTGTTATATAGAGAGTCTCACTCTTATATCTCCTCTGTTATGTAGGGAGACTCACTCTAATATCTTGTCTGTTATGTAGGGAGACTCACTCTAATATCTTCTCTGTTATGTAGGGAGACTCACTCTAATATCTTCTCTGTTATGTAGGAAGACTCACTCTAATATCTTGTCTGTTATGTAGGGAGACTCACTCTAATATCTTGTCTGTTATGTAGGGAGACTCACTCTAATATCTTCTCTGTTATGTAGGGAGACTCACTCTAATATCTAGTCTGTTATGTAGGGAGACTCACTCTAATATCTTGTAATATCTTCTCTGTTATGTAGGGAGACTCACTCTAATATCTCGTCTGTTATGTAGGGAGACTCACTCTAATATCTCATCTGTTATGTAGGGAGACTCACTCTAACATCTAGTCTGTTATGTAGGGAGACTCACTGTAATATCTTCTCTGTTATGTAGGGAGACTCACTCTAATATCTCCTCTGTTATGTAGGGAGACTCACTGTAATATCTTCTCTGTTATGTAGGGAGACTCACTCTAATATCTCCTCTGTTATGTAGGGAGTCTAACTGTAATATCTTGTCTGTTATGTAGGGAGACTCACTCTAATATCTCGTCTGATATGTAGGGAGACTCACTCTAACATCACCTCTGTTATGTAGGGAGTCTAACTGTAATATCTTGTCTGTTATGTAGGGAGACTCACTCTAATATCTCGTCTGTTATGTAGGGAGACTCACTCTAATATCTTCTCTGTTATGTAGGGAGACTCACTCTAATATCTCGTCTGTTATGTAGGGAGACTCACTCTAATATCTCCTCTGTTATGGAGGGAGACTCACTCTCATATCTCCTGTGTTGTGTAGGGAGACTCAATCTATTTTCTCCTTCCTCTGTTACGCAGGAAGACTCACTTAAATTTCTCTTCTGTTATGTAAGGAGACTCGCTCTCATGCCTCCCCTGTTATGGAGGGAGACTTAATCTCATGCCTCCTTTATTATGGAGAGAGACTTAATCTCATGTCTCCTCTGTTATATAGGGAGACTCGCTCTCTCCTGTTTCTGTGTTTGTTGGGAAACGAGCACTCTTATGTTCTTGAATTTCTCAACTGATTCTACTAGTTGTTTTTTCAGACTATGCAGAATGAGGTTGTACTGTTATGGCTGGTTTGTGTCTGGAATATGTTATTCTTCATACCCTTTTGGTATCTACAAACACATACATTTGTATTAGGAACCAAATTCATATTGAAAGCTTCTATCTACTTAAATATATCAATACTTTTTGATTTTGTATCGTGGAAATCCTCAATATTTGTTTTGAATGATTTCTTTTTTAACTTTATTATTTTTTTTTATCAATTTACAACTTTATATCCTTTTATGTACGTTTCATGATTTGTTTATATAGTTTTATTTACACAAGTTTGTTATGTTATAGTGTCTTATGATTGAGTTATGTAGTATTATAGAAATATAACTGAGAATGTGCAAATGCCACCAAGATTTTACCTGTATATGTATTAACTTTGGCCTTTAACTTTGACAGAAGGGAGACAACTCTGTATTACTAGCTGTTTTACTAGGTCTCCGCGATCTATCTTCAGCTTGTGAACCTTGTCAGTGGAGCAACCAATCTGTTTTACTGGGTCTCTCTGATCCGACCCCTGCTAGTTTATGTACACTACCAGTTACAAAACATTTTTGTTGTTGAATTTCCAAAACTAATTGTAGACATGGAAGTATTGGAGACATTCTGTCCTCCCTGAAGTTGATTGTGAATGTTTTGACCTGGATATAAGTTGTAGTGTTGTACCCAAAACATTAGGTTTAAGAGCTTTCTATGTAATGATGAAACAATCTAGGATGAAGTTGTGAATGAGACAGTATACATTGTTATACAGGTCTTGTATAAGGTAATAGTCTATATGCTCTGTGTATACTACCCATAATAGTCTGTTGTATCTGTGTATACATTGTTATACAGACCCCAGTATCTACCCAGGTAATAGTCTGTTGTATCTGTGTATACATTGTTATACAGACTTGTATACCAGTATCTACCCAGGTAATAGTCTGTTGTATCTGTGTATACATTGTTATACCCAGGTAATAGTCTGTTGTATCTGTGTATACATTGTTATACAGACCCCAGTATCTACCCAGGTAATAGTCTGTTGTATCTGTGTATACATTGTTATACAGACCCCAGTATCTACCCAGGTAATAGTCTATTGTATACATTGTTATACAGACCCCAGTATCTACCCAGGTAATAGTCTGTTGTATCTGTGTATACATTGTTATACAGACCCCAGTATCTACCCAGGTAATAGTCTGTTGTATCTGTGTATACATTGTTATACAGACCCCAGTATCTACCCAGGTAATAGTCTGTTGTATCTGTGTATACATTGTTATACAGACCCCAGTATCTACCCAGGTAATAGTCTGTTGTATCTGTGTATACATTGTTATACAGACCCCAGTATCTACCCAGGTAATAGTCTGTTGTATACATTGTTATACAGACCCCAGTATCTACCCAGGTAATAGTCTGTTGTATCTGTGTATACATTGTTATACAGACCCCAGTATCTACCCAGGTAATAGTCTGTTGTATCTGTGTATACATTGTTATACAGACACCAGTATCTACCCAGGTAATAGTCTGTTGTATCTGTGTATACATTGTTATACAGACCCCAGTATCTACCCAGGTAATAGTCTGTTGTATCTGTGTATACATTGTTATACAGACCCCAGTATCTACCCAGGTAATAGTCTGTTGTATCTGTGTATACATTGTTATACAGACCCCAGTATCTACCCAGGTAATAGTCTGTTGTATCTGTGTATACATTGTTATACAGACTACCCAGTATCCATTGGTATACAGTCTATTGTATCTGTGTATACATTGTTATACAGACCCCAGTATCTACCCAGGTAATAGTCTGTGTTATCTGTGTATACATTGTTATACAGACTCCAGTATCTACCCAGGTAATAGTCTGTTGTATCTGTGTATACATTGTTATACAGACTCCAGTATTGTAATATCATTGTGTATACATTGTTATACAGACCCCAGTATCTACCCAGGTAATAGTCTGTTGTATCTGTGTATACATTGTTATACAGACCCCAGTATCTACCCAGGTAATAGTCTGTTGTATCTGTGTATACATTGTATACAGGTAATATTGTGTATACATTGTTATACAGACCCAGTATCTACCCAGGTAATAGTCTGTTGTATCTGTGTATACATTGTTATACAGACTCCAGTATCTACCCAGGTAATAGTCTGTTGTATCTGTGTATACATTGTTATACAGACTCCAGTATCTACCCAGGTAATAGTCTGTTGTATCTGTGTATACATTGTTATACAGTACTACCCAGGTACCCCAGTATCTACCCAGGTAATCTGTTGTAGTCTGTATCTGTGTATACATTGTTATACAGACCCCAGTATCTACCCAGGTAATAGTCTGTTGTATCTGTGTATACATTGTTATACAGACCCCAGTATCTACCCAGGTAATAGTCTGTTGTATCTGTGTATACATTGTTATACAGACCCCAGTATCTACCCAGGTAATAGTCTGTTGTATCTGTGTATACATTGTTATACAGACTCCAGTATCTACCCAGGTAATAGTCTGTTGTATCTGTGTATACATTGTTATACAGACCCCAGTATCTACCCAGGTAATAGTCTGTTGTATCTGTGTATACATTGTTATACAGACCCCAGTATCTACCCAGGTAATAGTCTGTTGTATCTGTTATACAGACCCCAGTATCTACCCAGGTAATAGTCTGTTGTATCTGTGTATACATTGTTATACAGACCCCAGTATCTACCCAGGTAATAGTCTGTTGTATCTGTGTATACATTGTTATACAGACTCCAGTATCTACCCAGGTAATAGTCTGTTGTATACATTGTTATACAGACTCCAGTATCTACCCAGGTAATAGTCTGTTGTATCTGTGTATACATTGTTATACAGACTCCAGTATCTACCCAGGTAATAGTCTGTTGTATCTGTGTATACATTGTTATACAGACCCCAGTATCTACCCAGGTAATAGTCTGTTGTATCTGTGTATACATTGTTATACAGACCCCAGTATCTACCCAGGTAATAGTAATAGTCTGTGTATACATTGTTATACAGACCCCAGTATCTACCCAGGTAATAGTCTGTTGTATCTGTGTATACATTGTTATACAGACCCCAGTATCTACCCAGGTAATAGTCTGTTGTATCTGTGTATACATTGTTATACAGTCCTGTTGTATCTGTGTATACATTGTTATACAGACCCCAGTATCTACCCAGGTAATAGTCTGTTGTATCTGTGTATACATTGTTATACAGACCCCAGTATCTACCCAGGTAATAGTCTGTTGTATCAGTATCTACACAGGTAATAGTCTGTTGTATCTGTGTATACATTGTTATACAGACCCAGTATCTACCCAGGTAATAGTCATTGTTATGTACCCAGGTAATATCTGTGTATACATTGTTATACAGACCCCAGTATCTACCCAGGTAATAGTCTGTTGTATCTGTGTATACATTGTTATACAGACCCCAGTATCTACCCAGGTAATAGTCTGTTGTATCTGTGTATACATTGTTATACAGACCCCAGTATCTACCCAGGTAATAGTCTGTTGTATCTGTGTATACATTGTTATACAGACCCCAGTATCTACCCAGGTAATAGTCTGTTGTATCTGTGTATACATTGTTATACAGACCCCAGTATCTACCCAGGTAATAGTCTGTTGTATACATTGTTATACAGACACCAGTATCTACCCAGGTAATAGTCTGTTGTATCTGTGTATACATTGTTATACAGACCCCAGTATCTACCCAGGTAATAGTCTGTTGTATCTGTGTATACATTGTTATACAGACCCAGTATCTACCCAGGTAATAGTCAGTTACCCAGGTAATAGTCTGTGTATACATTGTTATACAGACTACCCAGTATAGTCTGTTGTATCTGTGTATACATTGTTATACAGACTCCAGTATCTGTGTATACATTGTTATACAGACCCCAGTATCTACCCAGGTAATAGTCTGTTGTATACATTGTTATACAGACTCCAGTATCTGTGTATACATTGTTATACAGACCCCAGTATCTACCCAGGTAATAGTCTGTTGTATCTGTGTATACATTGTTATACATTGTTATACAGTATCTACCCAGTAATCTACCCAGGTAATAGTCTGTTGTATCTGTGTATAAATTGTTATACAGACCCCAGTATCTACCCAGGTAATAGTCTGTTGTATCTGTGTATACATTGTTATACAGACTACCCAGTATCTACCCAGGTAATAGTCTGTTGTATCTGTGTATACATTGTTATACAGACCCAGTATCTACCCAGGTAATAGTCTGTTGTATCTGTGTATACATTGTGTATACATTGTTATACAGACCCAGTATCTACCCAGGTAATAGTCTGTTGTATCTGTGTATACATTGTTATACAGACCCCAGTATCTACCCAGGTAATAGTCTGTTGTATCTGTGTATACATTGTTATACAGACCCCAGTATCTGTGTATACATTGTTATACAGACCCCAGTATCTACCCAGGTAATAGTCTGTTGTATACATTGTTATACAGACTCCAGTATCTACCCAGGTAATAGTCTGTTGTATCTGTGTATACATTGTTATACAGACCCAGTATGTATACATTGTTATACAGACCCAGTATCTACCCAGGTAATAGTCTGTTATATGTTATACAGACCCCAGTATCTACCCAGGTAATAGTCTGTTGTATACATTGTTATACAGACCCCAGTATCTACCCAGGTAATAGTCTGTTGTATCTGTGTATACATTGTTATACAGACCCCAGTATCTGTGTATACATTGTTATACAGACCCCAGTATCTACCCAGGTAATAGTCTGTTGTATCTGTGTATACATTGTTATACAGACTCCAGTATCTACCCAGGTAATAGTCTGTTGTATCTGTGTATACATTGTTATACAGACTCCAGTATCTACCCAGGTAATAGTCTGTTGTATCTGTGTATACATTGTTATACAGACTCCAGTATCTACCCAGGTAATAGTCTGTTGTATACATTGTTATACAGACCCCAGTATCTACCCAGGTAATAGTCTGTTGTATCTGTGTATACATTGTTATACAGACCCCAGTATCTACCCAGGTAATAGTCTGTTGTATCTGTGTATACATTGTTATACAGACCCCAGTATCTACCCAGGTAATAGTCTGTTGTATCTGTGTATACATTGTTATACAGACCCCAGTATCTACCCAGGTAATAGTCTGTTGTATCTGTGTATACATTGTTATCTATTGTATCTGTGTATACATTGTTATACAGACCCCAGTATCTACCCAGGTAATAGTCTGTTGTATCTGTGTATACATTGTTATACAGACCCCAGTATCTACCCAGGTAATAGTCTGTTGTATCTGTGTATACATTGTTATACAGACCCCAGTATCTACCCAGGTATAGTCTGTTGTATCTGTGTATACATTGTTATACAGACCTCCAGTATCTACCCAGGTAATAGTCTTTTGTATACATTGTTATACAGACCCCAGGATCTACCCATGTTATAGTATGTTGTATACATTGTTATACAGACCCCAGTATCTACCCAGGTAATAGTCTGTTGTATCTGTGTATACATTTTTATACAGACCCCAGTATCTACCCAGGTAATAGTCTGTTGTATCTGTGTATACATTGTTATACAGACCCCAGTATCTACCCAGGTAATAGTCTGTTGTATCTGTGTATACATTGTATACATTGTTATACATTGTTATACACCCCAGTATCTACCCAGGTAATAGTCTGTTGTATCTGTGTATACATTGTTATACAGACCCCAGTATCTACCCAGGTAATAGTCTGTTGTATACATTGTTATACAGACCCCAGTATCTACCCAGGTAATAGTCTGTTGTATCTGTGTATACATTGTTATACAGATCCAGTATCTACCCAGGTAATAGTCTGTTGTATCTGTGTATACATTGTTATACAGACCCCAGTATCTACCCAGGTAATAGTCTGTTGTATCTGTGTATACATTGTTATACAGACCCCAGTATCTACCCAGGTAATAGTCTGTTGTATCTGTGTATACATTGTTATACAGACCCCAGTATCTACCCAGGTAATAGTCTGTTGTATCTGTGTATACATTGTTATACAGACTCCAGTATCTGTGTATACATTGTTATACAGACTCCAGTATCTACCCAGGTAATAGTCTGTTGTATCTGTGTATACATTGTTATACAGACTCCAGTATCTACCCAGGTAATAGTCTGTTTCTGTGTATACTACCCAGGTAATAGTCTGTTTGTATCTGTGTATACATTGTTATACATATCTACCCAGGTAATAGTCTGTTGTATACATTGTTATAAACTCCAGTATCTACCCAGGTATATAGTCTGTTGTATCTGTGTATACATTGTTATACAGTATCATTGTTATATACCCAGGTAATAGTCCTGTGTATACATTGTATCAGTATCTACCCAGGTAATAGTCTGTTGTGTGTATACATTGTTATACAGACCCCAGTATCTACCCAGGTAATAGTCTGTTGTATCTGTGTATACATTGTTATACAGAAGTATACATTGTTATACAGACCCCCCTGTTGTATCTGTGTATACATTGTTATACAGACTATCAGTTCAATCCTGTTATATTACAGTATCTTTTATTGTAATTAATGTGCTTATTAGTTCTGATAAAAGTCCCATTTAAAAGATCCAATAATTCAGTCTATTTGTTAATATGTATCTGATAGTTCGCTGCAGGCACATACATTATATTTCGATAGTTATTTTTTCAATTTTAAAAATGATTTTAAAAGAGGTCCTACAAATGTGTGATGAGTAATTGGTGTCTGTTACACTGCCGTGAGTATAGATTCATTGTTTAGATTGGGAATTACTGTCAGTTGTATTAGAATTGTTTATGTGTTATATATGTACCAGGTGATGTATAGAACATCTATAAACTTAATGTACTTACCTTTGATATCCACCATTTATTTTGTAGTGTTACCTCCCCATATAAATACTAAGGGAGATAACTTCTACAAATATAGCATTTTAAACAGTAAATATTCATCGTAGCAGCAAGTAGAATTCCGTAGATATTTTAAGCATTTTTAAAGAATATTTTACATCTATGTTAGATACAGTGCATGTAAGGAGTTTTTTTTTTAAATAGATAACTGTTCTTGTGATGCTCAATCTATTTCATTTGTGTTTACGCTTAACAATTGACACTTTAAATATCTCGTCAAGCTCCCAGTTTTCATTGTAACGATAGTAGAGTTGTTTCCCCTTGTTCAAGAAATCTTTACTGGTTGTGGAAGTAGCATGTTACATAGAATGTTAAAAGTATTTTAAAAGATATTAAGAATCACCAACATTAATGTTGCAATATTATTTGAAACACTTGATTTAAAGTCTGAAATGAATATGGAGATGAAATCTCAAAACAAGCATCTCATTACAATAAATTTTCATTGTTTAAACTGAAATAGTTTTTGTTATGATTTTGGACCGATCAGTCAGCCATTGCATCCATTACAGCTGCGTGGTGATGTATCTCAGTAATAATTCCCCAGTACTGTTAGTCTGTAGTCTGAATTATTCTGTTTCTTTAATTTTATATATATTAGTCTGGAGTCCATGAGTGTCATTCATTGATTTGACCTGGCTGATTGTTGTTCATTGACTCCAGACCAATATATTATAGTTAATATAGTTAGTTTGGTGTACAGAATTGTTAGAGTTTGTTCATCAGTCACACAAGTGTCTGATATACACAGGTATACTGTACCTGTCTGCAGTGGACACCTGCAGTCACACAAGTGTCTGATATACACAGGTATACTGTACCTGTCTGCAGTGGACACTTGCAGTCACACAAGTGTCTGATATACACAGGTATACTGTACCTGTCAGCAGTGGACACCTGCAGTCACACAAGTGTCTGATATACACAGGTATACTGTACCTGTCTGCAGTGGACACCTGCAGTCACACAAGTGTCTGATATACACAGGTATACTGTACCTGTCTGCAGTGGACACCTGCAGTCACACAAGTGTCTGATATACACAGGTATACTGTACCTGTCTGCAGTGGACACCTGCAGTCACAAGTGTCTGATATACACAGGTATACTGTACCTGTCTGCAGTGGACACCTGCAGTCACACAAGTACCTGATATACACAGGTATACTGTACCTGTCTGCAGTGGACACCTGCAGTCACACAAGTGAAATAGATATGCTTAATTAGTCGGAATCAAAGAACACTTCAGATATGCAAAGGGAAAAAAATATAGGAAACATGCAGTGTGCTACTACAGTGAACACATTAGCACATAAAACAATTTTTTCATAGCAGCTAAATGTAAAGTGGAACAAAGGCTGGCCCCCTTGTCTTTCCCAACCCTTACCAATGGTGAACCTTGTGTTGTTAGGTAATAACCATGAATACGCTGTAATTCTCTCAAATTCAACAAAACTAAACAGATTTAGCCTGGCCTCCTTCTGTTTTAGGAAAAATGAATGTTCATGTACCATCAATTGCCCTTAATACATGTATTACAAGATATCTTTCATCTTTTCACCAATAGTGTAATGGCTATAAATTATACCAATCGTGCAGTTGACAGAATTGTCATGCTAGGATTTGTACATGAAAACAATATCAAAACTTGCAGATCAAAAAATCTTTTATAAATGATGGCTATTATTATACAGCATACTTCATTTTTTGCAAAGTAAATTTATCAACTATTCTTTATATCTTTGTCATAACAGAGACGTATATATCACGTTTTATACGTCTCTGGTCATAATTAGACTACATTTTCACAGTTCATTTGGAATTACCTCCTAACTTACATATATGTTTGTGCAAGTTTTTTTTATCTTTCTAAAATTAATTGGCATTACAGTGGTATCTACTGAAGTGTGTGGTGAAAAAGTATGAATTTTTTTTAAGGCAGTAACTAATATATGTCCTATCAGGAAGGAAAATCCCTATCAAATGATTGAAATTCAATAAAGTATAGTGGTATCAAAACATAATAACTGTATTCTCTGCCATTTTGTAAACAAATGAATCTAGATACATAATGTTAGGTTATATCCCGAGAATGTGAATTTCTTACTTAAATTGTTGAGACTTCTACAGCTTTCGCCTTCCAGTTCCCTCTGATCATATTCTACCTTTCCATCCGCCATTTGGTGCTCTAAACCATTGGATTATTCCTTATTGTGACAAATGTAAACAATATGAACAATTTCAACTGCCATCACATCCTTTAAACCCAATTTCTATTAAAGTGCTGTGAGGATGTAAGATCGAAAAAAAAATTCTTCGACAAGTTTGATTAAAATAATGATAAAAAATATTGCTGAGAAAGACAGCGTATTTAAATGTAACTTACAAACATTAGTGCCAACTAAACATAAATATTTCATTTCTTGCTGTCTTATGGGAAATAACTCGTGTCGCGCTCACAGAACTATCGTTCATTACCAATTAAACCAATAAAACAAACATTTAAACTACACGTGGCTAGTGCCTATATTTATAGGATCCCGCCTGATAGGATGTGACAGCTGTGAGCTCGCTTGTGATTGGTCGACGTACGAACCGTGACCCCGACTGCCTGAGATAGTTTGACAGAGTTTACACATACTTCAGAACTACATGTGCAGTGCTGTGTGCTATGTAGAGTTCTGTATGTGTAGATTTATACTTCTCCAAACATGGGATATTTGTGTCTGAATTGGATTGAAAATGGATGATCCTGGCTAGAAATAATGTCCAACGTGAAAGTAGCGGTGAGGGTGAGACCTCTAAGTAAAAAGTAAGTTTGTAGAACAAGGATTCTGAACAAGGTAACGTGATATGTTACTATGAATGTGGAGTATGCCAGATAGCTTATAGTAGAGATGATGTTAACTTTATGATTTATCGTTACAGAGAACGGGAGAAAAATGCCAAGTTCATAGTGGATGTCAGTGGGGATACAATCAGTGTCGAGAATATCAAGGTAAGCAGACGTGTATCGGGAGACTGGACGCGTGTGTGATGGACTCGCGTGACCCTGAGAAAATAAAGAAAAAATATTCAAACCAATTAAAAAGTTGCTAAAGTCAGTTTTACTTTTCGTGGTTTGGAATCAAATTAATTTTGGATAAATCGGACAATCAAACGATATACATTTTATATAAAATATTAATTATCATGAAAAGTTTGCAGGAGAAAAAAGAGTGTTGTGTTTCAGTAAATTACAAGTCATGTGGTTCAAATACACTTGAGTCAATCAAGTGAGAAAGTGGATTTAATGGTTACCCAAAAGAAAATTTGAGTTCACCTAATTTGGTTATGGTCTAATTCAACTTTATATACTTTAATATTTTTCTGGAGCCTTAGGTGGGCCATTAATTGTACCTTAACCTGTTCCTTAAAGCCATTACAGTCTCTTTTATGTTGTGCTATTGAACCCTTAACAGCCCTTTCTAAGATATTCTCATAGCTCCTTAGGGCAAGTTACCAGAAATTCACTCACCCACAAAGCAACAGACCTATACTTCCTGCCTTGGAAAATATACAACTTGTACCTATCTCCCCTCCATGCTCCTCCCTCTGCTCTTCCTACAAGTCACTGGATTTTAAAGCAGTCTTGTAACATACATTTATGATATTCATAGTTCTCACTTTGTAAAGATAGTCAGACTTCAAAATTTTAGTTGTGGAGGAAAAAGAAAAGTTATTAACCTATGTAGAATAGAAGTACAGCAAAGAATTTAAGTGTCATCAGATACATGACCATTATTTGAGAATCTTAAATTCAAACTCAAGAAAGATGAAACAAGGACAAAATAGGGAAAAAAAAGAGAGTTTTAACGTGGAGACCATTGCAATGTTACTTGTACAAGGAGAATACAACCAGGTGTTCCAAAAGGGTTAACATCTGCTGTTTAAGTTATCACACCACCATGGTCAAAATATGTGTAAACTGATCAAATTTTCAATTAATGTGTCAAGGTGCATTTAACACTTTCCTTCAGGTTCCTTCAACATACCTGGATATATCCAAATATGGGGTGATTTGAAAACTCCATTCTCAACAGATAATGGTGCTGGAGATTTCCTGGCTATTTATTGACTTCGTTTATTGTGGTAAAAAATTGACGAAAAATATCACAATTTAACTTTATAATTCTTGAGTCAAGAGTTAGGGGGGAAAAATGTTGAAGAAAATCAAAAGAACTCTCCATCCAAAGTAGGAAGACAGGAATTATGTTGTCTGTGATGGAATTTAGGAACATGACAAGTATGTATACTTAGAAATGATTTTATTGATTTTTCACCTGGAGTACCTACATATGACCATACCTGTATATCTACACTCTACAATAGGTATGTCAACACTCGGACCAAACCCCTTATTGGCATGTGTCCAGTGGCTTTCTGCTGTTGTACATAGACCTGTTAGTATACCTCTCACTACCCAGTTTAAATGCCCTAATCCTAACCATTCCTGTCTAGAGTACTATACTTATGGTATAATTTAATTATACTCAGCAGATATGTTTTACAATGACTGTAAATGACCTTATTGTGAATGTATGAACTCAGCTTGGTTTGGTTGAGGAGATCCTACTATTGTTACTATTATTCTACTCATAACTCTGCCATCAAACATTTAACAAAACAGCTTGCCAGTTTACAATAGGAAGAATCCAACAAAACGTTTTTTTTTTTCCCTTTTGATTCGGGTTAAGGCAATAAAGCTTACACAAGGTTACACCACAGATAAATGTTGTCAAAGAATGGAAATCATCAACCAAATAAAAAATCGGTTTTAAATGTTTTACTGATTATAAGATTTCAGACAACCTGTCAATGAGAGAAGATTCGATAAGCTGGCTTAATGGTGTACATTGTGGGGTGCTAGTGGGAGTTCAAATTTGGGCCATACACACAATCTATTCATTCTTCTTCACAGTTTACTATGTCAGAGAGATTACTCCACTGGATAACATGCAATATTTAATCGACTGTATTGTAATTTTCAAAGACAAAATCTTGTTAGTTATGACACCTTGGCATATGATTGTATTCTTCCTAGATAACTTTAAGCAGGTCAGGTGATAATGTATGTCGCCGGTATTTACCAGGCAATCTGGTTCTATATGATTAGTATTTTGTTTGTTAAAATTATCTGAAATATATTTTATGATCATAGCTAAAAAAACCTGGCATTCCAAAACATTGACGATTGATTGAGTGTGATAAAAAAAGGAGGTTAGGTCTGATACACATTGGTCGGAACAAGTCAAATACTGAAACATTCCATATACTTAAGTATCAGTAGGATCAAAACACATAGAACTTTTAAACTTTCAAACATGTAATGTATCAAAAGGTTACAAATCATAATCAATTTGTATCATTAATTCTCCAATTATGAAAGAACATGGGGTATTGATTACAGCAGATTTTATGACAATGTAAAGGTATTTTGATACAGGCAATAAAACATGTAGGTCACATGGTTTGGCAGTTCACATATCCTATCATAAGACAGAATATTGATACTCATTTTACAAATGTGTTTCTTTGTTGAATGTAATTTGATTGGTTTACATTATCGACACCCTTTGATAGAAGCGGTGTCATATTTAATGTTATAATATTGAAGTGATTTTTGCATTGTTTTGAAGGCGGAATCTGTTAAGATCATCATTATTCAGGCAATATTGTCAATATTCAAGGCATGAGATTGAAGAGATCACATTAATGAAATACTGAAGTATCATTTGCAGGTCATGTACAATTGTGTGTCTGTGTATACCATGGGTATCCACACCAGTCGAGAAAAAAAAATACCAACTATATTCAGGAACACTGCCTCCAACCCCTAGTTGTGAACTGTAACATATTGTATTTGTAAACTTTACTTTTCACATCAACCTAAGTCATAGTTAGGAAACGACCAGGCAAACAATCAGGTGTTTGACTATCGTCTCTTTGGTTTATGAAAATATGTGTGAATGAGAAATTATTGATATCAATGTTAATTCTAATGCAATCAAGTTTATTATCACTTATCGTCATATCATCTCTTCTTATAATATAAGAAAGTATATCGTTTCATTTGTTTTATGTACTGTATTTGTATGGCAATATGCCCAGGTCTGGTAATAAGCCCACCCATATCTATTGCTGTAAAGTGGAATAACAAATTAAAAATTGTCCAAACTCGTCTTTTAATTTTGAATCAGGATTTATACATTGGCCCCTTATTTAAGGATAAATACATTTAAAGATATATAAAGACACCATGTTTGAACTTAACACTTATTGGCCCCTTATTCAAGGATAAATATAGTATCATTAAAGTTATATAAAGATTTTGTTTGAACTTAATGCGTCTTGTCCCCTTATTGAAGGATAAATGAGGTATTATTAAATTTATATAAAGATTTTGTTTCAATTTAACATCATGGCACCTTATATGATAAAAGTTATATAAAGGCACTGTTTCAACTTTAGTTGGTTTTGGAAATTAGAGATTCCTTTTTCAATGTCCAGTGAAACATTTTTCAGAAAGTTTGATGTCACAAGGACATGTAGATACCAACAAAACTCATTGTTACATAACATTATAACTAAAACGGTGAGCAGTGATATCCACATTGGGGTAACATCCACTTATTTCTGTGTCTGACCTTTGTTTCCTGTTTTTTTTTTTAATTTTTATAGTTTACCTTAATTTGTTAAGGTGATGTAAGAATTTATATACTCCTGTGTTTGATCTGTATATATTGTCTATTTTACCTGTAGGTTGATGGTCAGTCTGACTTTGGTGACAGTCGGGAGAGATTTAAAAACTTTACATTTGACTACTGCTATGACTCAAGTGTGGAGCCATCCTCCCCAGCCTTTGCTTCACAGGAACTGGTAAGTATTTCAAGTTGATGTATAGAGATGACAGTTGGAATGGGAGGGGAGGTAGATTAATGAACATTAACCATAAAAAGCTCTCTACTGATGTATAGAGGATATTATACATCTTACAGGAGTAGAGAGTATAGAAACTGTACTGAAGGGTGTAGAGGATATTATACATCTTACAGTAGTAGAGAGTATAGAGACTGTACTGGAGGGTGTAGAGGATATTATACATCTTACAGGAGGAGTAGAGAGTATAGAGACTGTACTGAAGGGTGTAGAGGATATTATACATCTTACAGGAGGAGTAGAGAGTATAGAGACTGTACTGGAGGGTGTAGAGGATATTATACATCTTACAGGAGGAGTAGAGAGTATAGAAACTGTACTGAAGGGTGTAGAGGATATTATACATCTTACAGGAGGAGTAGAGAGTATAGAGACTGTACTGAAGGGTGTAGAGGATATTATACATCTTACAGGAGTAGTAGAGAGTATAGAGACTGTACTGAAGGGTGTAGAGGATATTATACATCTTACAGGAGGGATAGAGAGTGTAGAGACTGTACTGAAGGGTGTAGAGGATATTATACATCTTACAGGAGTAGAGAGTATAGAGACTGTACTGAAGGGTGTAGAGGATATTATACATCTTACAGGAGTAGAGAGTGAGTACTAGGGTGTAGAGGATATTATACATCTTACTGTACTGAGGGTGTAGAGGATATTATACATCTTACAGGAGTAGAGAGTATAGAAACTGTACTGAAGGGTGTAGAGGATATTATACATCTTACAGGAGGAGTAGAGAGTATAGAAACTGTACTGAAGGGTGTAGAGGATATTATACATCTTACAGGAGTAAAGAGTATAGAAACTGTACTGAAGGGTGTAGAGGATATTATACATCTTACAGGAGTAGTAGAGAGTATAGAGACTGTACTGAAGGGTGTAGAGGATATTATACATCTTACAGGAGGAGTAGAGAGTATAGAGACTGTACTGAAGGGTGTAGAGGATATTATACATCTTACAGGAGGAGTAGAGAGTATAGAGACTGTACTGAAGGGTGTAGAGGATATTATACATCTTACAGGAGGAGTAGAGAGTATAGAGAAACTGTACTGAAGGGTGTAGAGGATATTATACATCTTGTAGAGGATATTAGATAGAGAGTAGAGAGTATAGAAACTGTACTGAAGGGTGTAGAGGATATTATACATCTTACAGGAGTAGAGAGTATAGAAACTGTACTGAAGGGTGTAGAGGATATTATACATCTTACAGGAGGAGTAGAGAGTATAGAAACTGTACTGAAGGGTGTAGAGGATATTATACATCTTACAGGAGGAGTAGAGAGTATAGAGACTGTACTGAAGGGTGTAGAGGATATTATCTTACATCTTACAGGAGGAGTATTATACATCTTACTGAAGGGTGTAGAGGATATTATACATCAGGAGTAGAGAGTTACTGTACTGAAGGGTGTAGAGGAGAGAGTAGAGAGTATAGAGACTGTACTGAAGGGTGTAGAGGATATTATACATCTTACAGGAGGAGTAGAGAGTATAGAGACTGTACTGAAGGGTGTAGAGGATATTATACATCTTACAGGAGGAGTAGAGAGTATAGAAACTGTACTGAAGGGTGTAGAGGATATTATACATCTTACTGTACTGGAGGGTGTAGAGGTAGGAGTAGAGAGTAGGGTGTAGAGGATATTATACATCTTACAGGAGGAGTAGAGAGTATAGAGACTGTACTGAAGGGTGTAGAGGATATTATACATCTTAAGGAGGAGTAGAGAGTATAGAGACTGACTGTACTGAAGGGTGTAGAGGATATTATACATCTTACAGGAGGAGTAGAGAGTATAGAAACTGTACTGAAGGGTGTAGAGGATATTATACATCTTACAGGAGGAGTAGAGAGTATAGAAACTGTACTGAAGGGTGTAGAGGATATTATACATCTTACAGGAGTAGAGAGTATAGAAACTGTACTGAAGGGTGTAGAGGATATTATACATCTTACAGGAGTAGAGAGTATAGAGACTGTACTGAAGGGTGTAGAGGATATTATACATCTTACAGGAGTAGAGAGTATAGAAACTGTACTGAAGGGTGTAGAGGATATTATACATCTTACAGGAGGAGTAGAGAGTATAGAAACTGTACTGGAGGGTGTAGAGGATATTATACATCTTACAGGAGTAGAGAGTATAGAGACTGTACTGAAGGGTGTAGAGGATATTATACATCTTACAGGAGTAGAGAGTATAGAAACTGTACTGGAGGGTGTAGAGGATATTATACATCTTACAGGAGGAGTAGAGAGTATAGAGACTGTACTGAAGGGTGTAGAGGATATTATACATCTTACAGGAGGAGTAGAGAGTATAGAAACTGTACTGGAGGGTGTAGAGGATATTATACATCTTACAGGAGTAGAGAGTATAGAAACTGTACTGGAGGGTGTAGAGGATATTATACATCTTACAGGAGGAGTAGAGAGTATAGAAACTGTACTGGAGGGTGTAGAGGATATTATACATCTTACAGGAGTAGAGAGTATAGAAACTGTACTGGAGGGTGTAGAGGATATTATACATCTTACAGGAGGAGTAGAGAGTATAGAGACTGTACTGAAGGGTGTAGAGGATATTATACATCTTACAGGAGGAGTAGAGAGTATAGAGACTGTACTGAAGGGTGTAGAGGATATTATACATCTTACAGGAGGAGTAGAGAGTATAGAGACTGTACTGAAGGGTGTAGAGGATATTATACATCTTACAGGAGTAGAGAGTGTAGAAACTGTACTGAAGGGTGTAGAGGATATTATACATCTTACAGGAGTAGTAGAGAGTATAGAAACTGTACTGGAGGGTGTAGAGGATATTATACATCTTACAGGAGTAGAGAGTATAGAAACTGTACTGGAGGGTGTAGAGGATATTATACATCTTACAGGAGTAGAGAGTATAGAAACTGTACTGGAGGGTGTAGAGGATATTATACATCTTACAGGAGTAGAGAGTATAGAAACTGTACTGAAGGGTGTAGAGGATATCATACATCTTACAGGAGGAGTAGAGAGTATAGAGACTGTACTGAAGGGTGTAGAGGATATTATACATCTTACAGGAGTAGAGAGTGTAGAAACTGTACTGAAGGGTGTAGAGGATATTATACATCTTACAGGAGTAGTAGAGAGTATAGAAACTGTACTGAAGGGTGTAGAGGATATTATACATCTTACAGGAGGAGTAGAGAGTATAGAGACTGTACTGAAGGGTGTAGAGGATATTATACATCTTACAGGAGTAGTAGAGAGTATAGAAACTGTACTGAAGGGTGTAGAGGATATTATACATCTTACAGTAGTAGAGAGTATAGAAACTGTACTGAAGGGTGTAGAGGATATTATACATCTTACAGGAGGAGTAGAGAGTATAGAAACTGTACTGAAGGGTGTAGAGGATATTATACATCTTACAAGAGGAGTAGAGAGTATAGAAACTGTACTGAAGGGTGTAGAGGATATTATACATCTTACAGGAGTAGTAGAGAGTATAGAGACTCCAGGAGTCATTGTGTTAGACAGAGGTTCCTTTAACGTGTTGTAGAGATATCATTGTTGTGCCAAAAGCTGGCAAAAACTAGATATTCAGATATTTTCAGATTTTTATTTATGTATAATGCTAGTGTGACTCATCAGTGTCTGCTACAGATCAGTAAATATTGTAGAAGCAAAGCATTCCTCTTTAACATATATCCAATCTGATGATATTAATTTCTGCATGTGGGCTGGAGCTGTCAGTGTAGAATTCAGCAGAACCACAAAGTCACAAAACTTGTTGAAGTGCATGTGCTAATGAAAAACACCTGCTCGATCAGAGCTAATTGTCTTGTCTAAAGTGTATTTACCTCTGATGAGGTAGAATTTTGTACATGTGCATGATGTGCAAGATTGAGGCTTAATTTGAAGTAGTCTGAGTCATGTGATACAGATAGTAGTCTGGATTATGCCAAGGCAGGGAAGGGGTTACAAACGTTATTAACATTTTACAATACCTGTAACAGTTTACGTTTTATAAATCATATCCTACAGAGATATTCTTGCAGTGCAGTAGTTACATACTATACATGTTCTCTATTGGGCAGAATGCATGTTCGAGCTGTATATACCAAAGCTTATAAAAGTGTAAATAAAAGTTATGATAACCTCACGGCAACAGCAGAGGAAATATAGCCTTCTGTTTGTATCTACCTATGTATGTTCTATGTTAATTTGACTACAGAGGAAGTCTAAATGTACCAAACCTGAGACTGTAGAGGAGTTATAATGTACCAAACCTGAGACTGTAGAGGAGTTATAATGTACCAAACCTGAGACTGTAGAGGAGTTATAATGTACCAAACCTCAGACTGTAGAGAAGTTATAATGTAACCTCAGACTGAAGAGGAGTTATAATGTACCAAACCTCAGACTGTAGAGGAGTTATAATGTACCATACCTCAGACTGTAGAGAAGTTATAATGTAACCTCAGACTGTAGAGGAGTTATAATGTACCAAACCTCAGACTGTAGAGGAGTTATAATGTACCAAACCTCAGACTGTAGAGGAGTTATAATGTACCAAACCTCAGACTGTAGAGGAGTTATAATGTACCAAACCTCAGACTGTAGAGGAGTTATAATGTACCAAACCTCAGACTGTAGAGGAGTTATAATGTACCAAACCTCAGACAGTAGAGGAGTTATAATGTACCAAACCTCAGACTGTAGTGAAGTCTAAATGTACCAAACCTCAGACTGTAGAGGAGTTATAATGTACCAAACCTCAGACTGTAGAGGAGTTATAATGTACCAAACCTCAGACTGTAGAGGAGTTATAATGTACCAAACCTGAGACTGTAGAGGAGTTATAATGTACCAAACCTCAGACTGTAGAGGAGTTATAATGTACCAAACCTCAGACTGTAGAGGAGTTATAATGTACCAAA